TCAATCTCTCTTGCTTTTTGCACATTGAAATAAAAAGTGTTTTAATAGGCATATTTTGTTTATTTATTGTTATATTTTTTTATTATTAGGTATATATTTTTATTTTCTGAGCATTTTGTATGTCATCGACGCATGCGTATCATGCGAAACTTTCGATGAATGTTAATGAATGAATGAATCTGAATAAACTCGGCGCAGAGATAGGTTACAGTCTAGAATATCAGATAGGCTACTTTTATCCCAGAAACATTGATTAAGCAAACTAACCGGCCTATTGGTCTAGCTAGTAGTAAGTGACCCACACAGCCGAAAGTCGTGGTTTCGATTCCCACCCAGGACAAATATTGTATGATGTTCAAGATCATTTGTTATGCGTCTGGGTGTAATTTATCTAAAATATGCGTGTATGTATTAGCAATATACATGTGCGTTTATCAGCAGTCTGGTTATCATAGAACAGGCTCTAGCCAGTTTAGGATCAGACTGTCGTATGTTAGATGTGTGAAGTTATTATAATATTAACGTGAGGGAAACCGAGGGCAAAGGTTAGTATTCGATAAATCTCTTAATCAATTTTTTTTATCGAACAGCATGATGCAAGTAGCGGCTAATTCGTGGGAAAAAGGGCGTTCTAGCGGTATTCTAAACAATGAGTGGGAACTTCCAGACAGTGTGGACTATAAATACACCATGACTTGGCTATAAATATGTATGTATGTATGGTTCATACCATGAAGTACATATAGTTCATACCATGAAGTGTTCATACCATCGTACCATGAAGGAGTTATGTCAAAAAAGGTAAAAGAAACAAAACAAGAACACAAAGATAAGTTTAAAGCAGATAAGTTTAAACACTCTCAATACACTCGAGTATAACTACGTAAGTCTATTGACTTAAAATAATAAACTTAAAAAAAAACACTGATTTCAATGCGCCTAAATTTTTTATAACTTGTTTCTTTATCCCGAGCGGTGTAAAATTTTCTTCACATTTAAATGCTCATGATTTTTGATCTCACCTGATCACCTGATAGTTAATTTCTACCGCCGTCCATGAATACCTGTAAATTAAGAGATACAAATGCATACCACTCTTTCTTCTACCGGTCTCCTGTGAGGCCCAGGCTCTGAAATATTGCGTTCTCACGGGTACACATCATCGTCATACGATCTAATTAATATGGGGATGAGAATTGAGTTTGCCTATTTGCTAAACTTGATATACGCATTATCAGAGAATAAAAAAAGGCATTTATAAAGAATAAACGGTTTTACTCACGTTTCGTGGTTATGGGGAGCCCGACGTATGACCACTGTAAAGTACATTATAGTGCAACGCGTGACACCGACGCGGAAGGTCGCTTCACCCCTTGAAATAGGCTCCCGTGACGGTAACACACGTGAGTAAAACTGGTTATTTTTATAAATATGAATAATACTCACGAAATTTAAAAAATAAGACCTATATTTAGTTCATTCAGAAAACAGTTGACATCACGAATATCTGGTTTGGTTCAATTTCTACATTAATGTTTTTGATGATTTCGAAATCAGGATTGTTTTTTTTTATTACGGATACCGCCGCGCATGGACACATGCATGGAGAAAGGAAGGAGAAAGGAGGATGGTCCAGTAACCTCACTCGCTCCGTGAAAAGCAAAATCACTGTATTGATACACGCAAAAGCGCGGGCAAAAGCTAGAGAAAAAATAACTTAAATTGTCTTCAACAAATAAACATCAAATTTCATAAGACAAGTGTTTTTCGTTCGTTCATTTAGTTCATTAGTTACGTTAACGTAACTTCCCTTCTTTTATGCCCGCTAAAGGCTACTCACACACTCGTACCTAAGTTCCCAAGCAAACAATCTCACGGGTGATCTAGCAGCAGATAAAGATAAACTTAACATATAATTAGACGCGACTGTTCCTGTGTCGAAGTTCACATCCCATCACAACAGCGTGTGCCGCGTTTATGGTTCTCGTGATACGGTGTAATTGTGTGTAGTGATAACATCTTGGAGGTGAGGAATAGCTAAGTGTACTTCCCTCCATTTTCACCTTAATTTGTGTATTTATGTACCATCGCTCCTTGTCCGTGTGGTGACGGATTAAGAATACGGAGTGTCACCCTATTCATCCCGTGGGTGTCGTAAGAGCCGACTAAGGGAGCAAGCTACGCAGGACAACAGCACTGCAAAAAGAAGGAAAACTTGATACAAACCCTATACCGACCATGTCTGGCCAGTGTGGTATAGTAGGCCAAAACCTGCTTTCTAAGAAGAGGCCTGTGTCCAGCAGTGGACTATAAAAGGCTGTTGTTGATGAGAATATATCATTACCACTAGCAATATCTCTCGTCACTTATAGGTAGTCAATCTATGTGGCTTTCTGTCACCTCGAACATATATCATATTTTATTTTTTTGTCTTTATTAGTCTTTATTTTTCTTTATTAGTCGGTTAAATAAGTGTTGTAGGTAATTATTAATATAACTTCAGAAATACTACGCGTTAATATAAAACACGGCAAGTAGCTGTCTCGACTCCTTGCAGAGCGAATCTGCCGTGTGGAACGAAGCGTGCACAAGCTCAGGAAGTCGCAGGAACAACACTCCACCGCACGCCACCTCACGTTAACATAAAATAGGACATTTAAATTAAGTAATAAATAATATTTATGACCTCCGTTACATAAGACTCACATACATTTTTAATAAATATTTAGAAAGCAACTAAGGAAATGAAATTTTCTCTCGCATAAATTAGCAAGTTGGCTATAAGAAATCACAGTACCTTTTATAAATCCAATCACACATTGTATATATAGGTGAATGCCACGTAGCCAGTGTTGCCGCATTGTGCGTGACGTGTGACATGACACATTCGAAACAGCATGTTTTTTAGCACAGGGTTGCCATATGTATTTTTTAATTTATTTCTGTCTATCCTCATATAAGTTGTTTGTCGTGTATGTTAGAAATAAAATATGTTTTCTTTCTTTCTTTCTTCTATATATATACTTTACTAAAGCTCTATCTGAATCCGTGTACGAATACGCTTGCACGTATCCTAATAACCCTAGCGGCTTATCAAGGTCAAGACCTTTTACTGCCATCCATGGTGAAATGGTCCAACAGTGCAGCTGTAGTTGCCAAGCCCTATAACATTCCCGCAACAGGTAGAACATCCAGACAACGTAGAGGTTGCAAGCGGCAGGAGTTGCTCATCTATGAATTCTTTCTAAGAACTTATCCCCCGAACAGATGAGATTCTCGATCTGGTTGTATAATTTTGTTTAAATAATCGTAATTAAAATATTAAGTAAGAAAACTAGTGGTGGTTTATTGGCACATAGATGAGACCATTTAATTACTTTTTAGTTCAGTTAGTAACAATGTAATAAGCAATTACTTTTTCTACTCATCTGCTAGTGCCATAAAATGACTCGTTTGCTAAAGGTTACCAGAAAATATCAACTTACATCAAGTGTAAAGTATCATATTTTGTAGTAAACTGTTAGAACTTCCCGTCATTACTCTTAATACTGAAAACATGGTTTAATCTATGACATAAACCTTATCCTTACGTAGTACAAGACTCTTTATATATTTTATGAAAAGGTACTAACAGTCACTACAAAAAGATATTAGTAGAAGAACAGGGAATGTTATTTATGCAAATTTGTTTGTAAACAATATTTAAAAAAGTACCTAGCAACACATGAAAACAAACCAAACTGAGGATAGATATTTAAATGAACAGATATATAGATGGAATGATAGACATAGAACAGAGCACTACAGACTAAGCATGTAAGAAAAATAATAATTCGAGGACCGTCTTTTACTGTATTTTACCAAATCTTGAAAAAAAATGAACTGTATTCTTGTTATGGTTATATTAAGATATTAAAAATACGGAATGTCTCTACCTTTATTTATCCCGTGGGTGTCGTAAGAGCCGACTAAGGGAGCAAACTGCGCAGGACAACAGTACTGCAAAAAGAAGGCAAACTTGACACAAACCCCAAACCAACCCGTCTGGCCAGCGTGGTATCGTAGACCAAACCTCCTTTCTAAAGAGAGGCCTATGTCCAGCGGTAGACTACGAGTATAAAAGGCTGTTGATGTGATGTGATGTGTGAAAATTAGGCTGATAAAGAAAGAAATCCACAAATGTAACTAGATGAAAAATTTATTTTTAACATATCTTAAAAAAGTACGGCTTAATAGCTTACTCCGACTGATCCTTTATACTTGTCCAACAGCATGATAGTAAGGTTGATGCAAAACTGATGCTTCTGACTACATTAAAAACATGCTTAAATAGCAAATCCTCCTAGCTCCATCATCAGGCCATTTTTACTAAGCCATATCTTTTAGAGTCGTCATAATCTGGAGTCTGTATTCGAAAGATTTGTTAACAGCTACTGAGGAGTTCCGATATGCACCTCCTGGCTCTACCAGCACTTCAAAATGTTAAATTGTAGTATTACCATCCAAACTAAGTACACCTACATACTACAGAGCTTCATAACAATATGATTGTTGTAAGTAGATTTAAATTGACTTCAAATATTTGTCTACATCATATGCTAATAAAATAATAATATACCTTACACATCTCACACACGGCCGCCTGATCCCAAACTAGGCAGAACCTGTGCTATGGTAATCAGACTGCTGATAAACATACTTATAAATTTTTAAATACATACATATTATAGATAAATTACACCCAGACAGAGAACAAGTGACCGTGCTCATCACACAATATTTGTCCTGAGTGGGAATTGAATCCACGACCTCCGGTTTAGCAGTCAGTGTCACTAACCACTAGACCAACAGGTCTGTCATAGTTACATGCTTATGAGCATGCATCAAGAAGTACTTGAAATTTATCTGGCGACCCTCCACCGCCTCCAAATTCCTTCCTCATACCTAACGTGTTGAAGTATTAAAGGATATTCTAGATAATCTTAATAATTTTTTCGTAGATGGCGAGTATAGAAGTCTCGTTGGCGGGATCGCGACGAAGGAGCGCAGGCGCACGTGACGTCACACGGGAACTCGACGCTCTGCGGACAGCGCTCACCGACAAAGACTCGCTTATACAAAGGTTATTTATTTTACTTTTCACATTGATTCAGTGCCGTTAACAAGAGCATTTCATTTCTTTTCATAGATACCGCCTATATATTACTTATGACATTATCGTTAAGTTTAAACTGACATATGTTAAGAAAATACTGACGCAACTGACGGTTTTATAACCTATTGCAAAATTACACTTTACTTTTGAAGTATGAATTCCAATATTTTTCAAATGGACCCCAGTAACATAATTTATATGTCCTAGGTATTATAGAGAAACCGCTTAACTAACTCCTTGTCTGCGGGATACAGGGGCGGGGAGGTAGGACGAGAATGAGTATCGGGAGGTGTGGGCGGCAGTCGCATTCTTCATTTCTTCGAGCGCCCGCTTTTCAGGTCCCATGTGTTCATCACAAATCTTAATTAACTCTACAGTCTCAAGAAGCAATTGTCGGCTTCTCTAAGTGCGGCGAGACTCGCAGCCCAGGCGCAATCCCCCACGGCATCGCGGGCCAGCTCCCATGAGGAATCCAGTCCAACTTTGTCCGTTGATGAACGGAAAGCCCTGGAAGAGCGCGCCAATGCTGTCAAGAACGACCTGGATACCAGAAAGGCTAACATACAGGAACTTAGAAGACGGCTTGAGAAAACACATGTTACAGAGTAAGTGTTCTACGGGAAACAGATTTTAAGAATCCGTATAGTGACTCAGATATGGTTTTATAGATTTTCTTAGGTGGTAATTAATTCTTATTTCTTTATTGGGTGTGTTTTACCAAATACTATCAAAGCATACTTTAGTAAAAATTGCTGTCTCTTCAGGCAATCACATCGTAGAGTAAGGAGGGGCTGGCTGGCTGGCCTGGCTTCTGATATACCCAAAAAAAAAATACACATTTAAAAAATATTTTTTTTAAGTATTTTACAATAATATGTCATTTCCTGGGCTAGGGCTCATAACGTATTTGAATAATATAATATGTTAGCTGTACCCTGCCACGCCTCGCTGTAGCACAATGTGGTTGCAAAGAAATAGATAAAAACCATCTCTGAAGCGTGTTAAATAATGTATCAAAATATGAGCTCAATTAGTGCAGAAATTTTTAAGTTTTTGAAGCGTACACAAATCAACTTAACATTTTTATAAATATATAGAGATATATAGGAACCTAACCTATTTATGTCTTATTCGAATATTCCTTTTCACTTCCTCCCAGAAACATCGACACGCGCATCCAACAGGCGGAGCTGCAGTACAAGTTGGGCCGTGAGGAGCTGGATCTGCTGACGTTGAGTGAGCAAGCACGTGCGCTCGCGCAGCTCATTGAACAAGCCGATGCAGCCTCCAGCAGGAACCAGCGTACCACTTTATACAGGTATTTAACATTGACAATGATTGTATTAGGTTTATTCAAATTTATAGACACAGACGACGGGTTCTTTTTCTCTTTATTCTTGGTCGTTTTAGAATATTCTTTTACTACCTATATTCATGTGTACGCTAAAGGGTAACACAATAGATACCTGGTTCAAAGTGGCCTTTAATGTAATATTTATATCGTGAGCACAAAAGCTAAATCAAATTATTTTTTAAGAATAAGCTACATCTTTTAACACTCTGAATACTCAAAATCAACTCACTAAGGTATTAATCGCTCAGAATTTCTGACGATACAAACCTGCCACTGGTTAGAATAGTAGTTATTTATTTATAAACATATGCATTGCATAAGACGAACTTAATGTCGTACGAACTTACTTCCAGAGCGGTGTTATAAACCGAAAAAAATAAATATAGACTTTGACACATATCATTATATAAAACAACTAGCTGACCCGGCAAACGTTGTTTTGCCAAAAAAAATATTTAGGGATGGGTCACCCTTACCATTTAGGGGTATGAAAAATAGATGTTGGCCGATTCTCAGACCTACCCGATGTGCACACAAAATTTAAGCTGCTCGGTCAAGCTGTTTCGGAGGAGTACGGGAACGAACATTGTGACACGAGAATTTTATATATAAGATTAGCAAAATAAAATAACACTGTTCAATTAAATACTCCGCCCATCTCGCACAATGGGAATGTAAGAAATTAATAAGAACATCGACTTTCCCCATCCATTGAAGCTGACAAATCCGTCTCGGCGATTGCACGCCGTCGATCAGGGACGTGTAAATTGTGTCGCGCGACACACGCCATACCTAACATATTTGTAGTAAATGACTTCACGAATGTGGTCACCAGTGTTATAAGTTCAATCCCCACATGAGGCAACACTTTGTGTGTCACAAGTTTTTGTTCCGAATCTGACGCCCGTATTTTAAAAGGTGTCGTGAATCTAGTCTTAAAACTGATTTTAAGTGGAGATTTTATTATTGAATTCACTTAAAACGAGATTCATCGATCCATTCTCAAGTGAGTGATGGCTTATTTTAGAACCATGTTTATGTTAAAATCCTTACTTAAGTAGAGATTTTGACAGATGTGATCTTTGTTTACGTGAGACAAGCTGAAATGAAATGAACGTGTTTTACGATGATTTGTTTCTGAATAATTACGATAGATTGACTTTAAGAATTACTTGTCATACATAATCAATTCACTTTAATTTACCTTAATTGATATTCAATTCACTGAAATTCACATTGTACACAAACAATACTTGTTTAAATTAAAATCATCACAACCTTTTGGTTTATGTCAAAAGTTTAATATAAAAATAAAAACATTGTTTGACAAATCAACATGACAAAAGGTGATAAATAACTTGAACGAATATAGCTTATCACTAGTCATTCTTATTTTAATATTTCTTCTACTTAATTTTGGACGAATAACAAGCTTGTTAATATATTTACATTACTATACTAGCCAATAGTATACTATATATAAATTCACAGCAGTTATGTTTGCAAAAGATTTTTTTATCTGCGTCGTAATATGACATAATAATAATGTCGATCTTGCCGAAACGCAATTGAGAACAGACTGTAAGTTCAATGCTGGAGAGTAGTTTCAACTGAGTAAAACTTAAAATGCGTTTAATATAACATCGATGCTTAAGTTTTGATCTGATCTTAAAACTAATTTCAGATAATCAGTTTTCAACTGGTATCAGTTTTCAACTGATACTTGAGACGTCTTTCAAAATACGGGCCTGAGTGTTCTTTGTGTCTGCTGTTGTCATAAATGTATGTAAAGTCCCTCATATACATGATGTTTTTCTAGTGAAGTTGTAAAAATCGTTAAAGTAGCCTTCAAATTGTGACGGTAGATTCAATTTTATATACTAAAAACATGAATTTGTTTTTAAAATATGTATTTAGCTTAACTATAGTTACACATCTGTAACTCAGTTGAGTTACAAAGACTAACCCAAACAAATACTGCATTATTATTCAAGTTTTGTGCAACATTTTGCCTTTCTTGTTATTATTATTATGACTCACATAGTCTTTTCAAACCTATTTGATATTCCAATATCAGTAATGTGGCAATATATTGTTTATAAATGTTATTAACAAAGTAGAACCATATAGTTTTAAACTGTGTACTAAACAGTTCCGAAATCGTGAATAATAGGTGCTAAGAAGCGTGAAGTAATTACAACATAAACAGACAACATCTATTCAAATCAGTTTCAACGTTTCACCGCATCCTGGATTTCTTCAACACTAAGGCTAGGCACATACTGACAGTTGTGTCGCGCGGCAAAAATAAAACCGCCAAATGACATTGCGTATATTTCAATAAGCTTAGAATAAGATAAAATTTATTTGTTTAAATACTTAGAAGCAAGTGTTTTACAGGGACTGCAATAATAAAATAGTTCTTAACAATCGGTGGTTAATGTGGTTAGGTATCGACATATTTTTCATAAGCGTACGCTATTAAAACTTAAGGTATTTTTCTTTTGATTGGACATGGTAATAATGCCTAAATATAATAATAATACAATTTACAAGTATTAAAATTATTTAAATCAATAATGATTAGAAGAACTAAAAATAAAAAGAAGAAACTTCAATAAAACTTTTCGCACTATTGGCTTTATGAGTGATCAACATATCTGACGTTTTGACCAGTTTGTGCCGCGGTCACAGTCGGCCTCCTCATTACATCTCCCCCCCCCCCCCCACCCATTTTTTTGTTGACGGGTTGGAAAATCCCTTCAGATCTCCTGCTCTTCGGGGACTATGAGCCAGGAGTATGTGGTGATTCCACTAAAAACCACCCCGACGGCCGGCCTCAGGTGTCCTACTCTGGGGAGGACCCGGACCATGTTATTTCAGGTCCTCCACAGGCGGCCTCCTACTATTACTACTCAATTAGTGCGTCAGATAAATTCACATCACACATCACATCAACAGCCTTTAATAGTCCACTGCTGGACATAGGCCTCTCCTTAGAAAGAAGGTTTTGGCTTACTATACCACGCTGACCAGACGGGTTGGTATAGGGTGGAATAAATTCAAAGACATGTTAATACCCACTGATCACATTAACATCGCAAGTAATAATTATATATCGCGCACCAAAAAAAAAACTTGCAGTGTGAGCGTAGCTTTACCGCTTCAGATCTATCGACAGATATCCAAGTACCTATCTGCGGGTCCTCGGCAATTGTTACATTCATTACGCCATCCCATTGTTCGTGAGGCGTGGCTGCAACCACACTTTCTATGGCCACTGCCCCATGACCCACGATGGTGTTCCGAATCTGTGGGAGAAAGCCCAAAATGATGAAAGGCATCAGTAGAGAAGTTCTAGACGTTATTTGCATGTTATAATTGACATGATCCATGCGAACTTACTGGAGATTAACATCATGAACTTCGGATTTTAACTGTTCAACTTTCTCTAAGAATTTGGTTGTCATTTATAATTAGACATGTCGATTGATCGCACAATAAAAATCGATAGTTTTAAATTGAAATAATAAAGGTTATGCAATGTTCACACGAACAAGATTATAGTTAAACCGTCGTAAGCTTGGCCCTCCTGATGGTTTGCGGGACGCGGGGCGGGTGATGCGCTCGGTTATACATGACACGATGTACTAACTCGATATCTTCAGATTTATTTGTTTGAGATTTAATCTAAACACGATGTAATAAAAATCGAATTTATTTCCATGTATTATAATGTCAGAGTATTGTAAGTTTTTATGATTAATTGTAAAATTTAATACTGTAAAATAATTTTAATAAAATCACCTTTTCTTCATCATGTAAATACCTATTTAATTGTATTCAGATACAATTTAAAAATTAAGTAAAATAATAAATATTCTTTATTAGAACTTTAACAGTAGAACCTCTGTAAGCTGAACCTCAAGTTTTTAAATCTTTCTGTGACGCAGTGTCGGCAGATTATCCATGTTGCAAAATAATACCGTGTGTAGCAGTCTTAAGAAAAATAACACGTACAGTCATGCTTTCACGTCAGTCACTGCCGGCGGACAGCGACGCACTAGCTAATTGGTTGAATGCATTCCCGCCCCGCGTCCCCCAAACCATCAGGAGGGCCAAGCTTACGGCGGTTTAACTATAACAAGAAGAGATCTTAACCCTAATGACTAAGCGAGAAGGTTCTTCGACATAACACAAGAGACGCCATTCGCACTTCTATAAGGCCTATTTGCCTACTGAACTATATGTAATGTATGCATGTACATTAAATATTAACTGTGTAAATCAGGATTTCATTCCACTGTTAGTGCCACAGTCTTCAGCTTGATGTTACTTCTAGAGATGGAACCTGAATTTCAAGATGCAGTATTTCTTAATGTTCCCATAACGATGCTATTTTCTTTTAATAGAAAAACAATAGGTTTACATAATATTCTTCTCTCGGCGTACTACCGAAGTTATCTAATATTAAGTAATAATTCGTATAAAATTGCTACAAGTATATACGAAATGATAATAATACACAGGTTGGATTCTTAATAAAAAATACTTCCAGACCTGGCCTGGATCTCAATTTTGCTATTTTAATATTGTATCAATAAACTGTCGATGAAATGTTGTCGGAATAGTTTTGCACTTCTCGTATTCTACTAACTATGTGAGACCAATAGCCTCCCCGATGACTTGTCACTAAACTGCAGCTGATACAAATACATTTTAAATTTTAAAGGAAATTATATATTTAATTTGCCAGATATGGCAATGTTGTTGATATTACAATTGATGAGCTATTGCCACTATATCAACAGTCTATCGACACTGTGAATTTATGTTAGTAGAATACCGATATTTTGACCGATGTCCATGACATATCAATGACGTGTCAAATGAAATGACAGTACATTGACAGGTGATTTAAAGAAATGACACGAGTATAAATTAATCAGGCTGTATAAAGGGAA